GAATTGTATACCTAAAATGTACCAATAAAATTAATTTAAAAATTAAAAAAAAAAATTACCAGAAACACTTTGACTATGATCTCTGAAATCTTGCTCAGCCAACCTTCCATCATTTCCCCCACACATTGGCCATCTCTGAGCAGCATCTACTGAAAGGATGGGAACAGCATCATTTCCGTTGTTTCACTGCCAAGTTACATATGAGGACATTTTTATTTTTCAGGAAAACAGCTTTTGCTTGAAAGATCTTTATCAGCTTCAGAGTTTATCAAAAGCAATGCTGTGTGGATACAGCTGAGGGATCTCAAAAGAAATTAGTTCCTTGAGAACCCGTTTCTCCACGTTGCACTATTGCCTTTGCCACCCTGCAGATCTGCAGAACTCCTGCCTGGGGCTATGGGTGTCTCAGCTCCCCACAACCCCAGGGCTGGCTCTGAGCAATTATTGTTACACAAACCTCTGTGACACCAAATCAAAAAGGCAAGCAATTTTCCTTATTTTCATGAAAATGTAGCTAATACTCGGCATTGCGCTAATGAGATTATATAGTACTAGTATTTTGCATGCCATTGGATGAGTCTTAGAGCACTTAAAGGTTTTTAAATACTTTTTCTCAGTTAATTCTAAAAGAGAGAAATTCAAATATATGAGAAAGAGCAAAAATTTCTCAACATTAAATCTACTTTTCCAAGTACTCCATTTGAAAGTATGAAATTTAATTCAAACCTTAGGCAAAATCATACATCAGTCTGCCAATTATACCAGGAGCAAGTGCTCTGATTTCAAGCAGCTCTTAATAAGATACTGGTGTCAGCACAAAGATGCACTCATAACCCATGTCATGGTGGACCTGTCATCCATTTCTAGGCCAGTGCTGTTGTTTTATTGTTTTGGTTGCACACTTTACTCTTTCTTTTAGGTATTAATCCTGGGATCCTGCTTGCCTTTAGCTGTTCAACATTTTTCACTGCTTCTGGCACCAGTTATCAAAACAATTATTGAGTAGACAAATGACTGCAAAGTATTAACCAAGAGTACATAAGGAATGACTTGAAAATTGTACCAACTTTATTTTTCATGTTTGCAAAAAACAGTTTTCTTGACTGCACAATTATGCCAGAGGAGCTTATGCAGATGACAGCAAGGAAGATATTAGTCAATTTAAGAGGTACATGTTGGGCTGGAATATTCCAATTATGTCAAAGTTACAGCAAATAGACAAAGCTCAAATGATTATGTCATGTTCCTACTCATTTCTGCCCGTTCTTGATAATTCTCTTCTCCTTAACTACAGGGAGCCTGACAAGAGGAAATGATAGAAATGATTAAATATTTGGAGAGTTGGTGAAGTGGAACAAATGCTTATGGAAAATTAACTAGCAATTCAAAATGATTTATAAATGCCAGGCATGAGAACAAAATGATGAACAAAGTTCTAACCAGGGAGAGTGCAGGGCAGACTGAATTGCAGGTAGAAGCAAGCACAGAACTTATTCAACTGGATTTGTCATGTACCCTGACTCACTGGAACTAAACACTGTTTTTACATAAAGTTATCATTCAAATGTTTATTCTCCAAATAGTATGGCCTCATTATAGATGACAGAGTATACTTGTCCATTTAAGTGACCACCTTAAACGGCACAGAATCAAGACTTTTTCATGAGTACTTTATTATATATCACTAATGGTGCATTGTTCAATAAAGAGTAACACAATTTTTAAAATTTTAAAGTTACATTATTGCATCTTCTTGTTCAACAAAATACATTTGAGAATACTAAAATTGTAAATGTAAACTAAAAATATAAAAGTCCTGCAGCAGAACACAGGTAAATATGGATTAAACTTTATTAGGGAAAGACCTTTGGAAGCAAAGACAAAAGAACCTAAAGGAAAATATTAATAAATTGAGCTATTAAAAATTACAATTTTTCCTAGGGTATTGTCTAAAATTTTTTGGAGTGCTGGTTTGGTATTCATGAAGTTCCTGAGGTGCTCTTTATCATCAAAGTATCTTATTTCTCCATCAATTTTGAAAGATAG